TAGGGGGAGGGTTAGTGTTAGGGCTCAGCTGGGGGAGGGTTAGTATTAGGGATCAGTAGGGGGAGGGTTAGTGTTAGAGCTCTGTAGGGGGAGGGTTAGTTTAGGGATCAGTAGGGGGAGGGTTAGTATTAGGGATCAGTAGGGGGAGGGTTAGTGTTAGGAATCAGTAGACTCAGTAGGGGGAGGATTAGTATTAGGGATCAGTAGGGGGAGGGTTAGTGTTAGGGATCAGTAGGGGGAGGGTTAGTGTTAGAGCTCATAGGGGGAGGGTTAGTATTAGGGTTCAGTAGGGGGAGGGTTAGTGTTAGACCTCTGTAGGGGGAGGGTTAGTGTTAGGGCTCAGCTGGGGGAGGGTTAGTATTAGGGATCAGTAGGGGGAGGGTTAGTGTTAGAGCTCTGTAGGGGGAGAGTTAGTTTAGGGATCAGTAGGGGGAGGGTTAGTGTTAGGGCTCAGTAGGGGGAGGGTTAGTATTAGGGATCAGTAGGGGGAGGGTAAGTGTTAGGGCTCAGCTGGGGGAGGGTTAGTATTGGGGATCAGTAGGGGGAGGGTTAGTGTTAGGGCTCAGTTGGGGGGAGGGTTAGTATTAGGGATCAGTATGGGGAGGGTTAGTGTTAGGGCTCAGCTGGGGGAGGGTTAGTATTGGGGATCAGTAGGGGGATGGTTAGTGTTAGGGCTCAGCTGGGGGAGGGTTAGTATTAGGGATCAGTAGGGGGAGGGTTAGTGTTAGGGCTCAGCTTGGTGAGGGTTAGTAATAGGGATCAGTAGGGGGAGGGTTAGTGTTAGAGCTCTGTAGGGGGAGGGTTAGTTTAGGGATCAGTAGGGGGAGGGTTAGTATTAGGGCTCTGTAGGGGGAGGGTTAGTATTAGGGATCAGTAGGGGGAGGGTTAGTGTTAGGGATCAGTAGACTCAGTAGGGGGAGGATAGTGTTAGGGCTCAGCTGGGGGAGGGTTAGTATTAGGGATCAGTAGGGGGAGGGTTAGTGTTAGGGCTTAGCTGGGGGAGGGTTAGTATTAGGGATCAGTAGGGGGAGGGTTAGTATTAGGGATCAGTAGGGGGAGGGTTAGTGTTAGGGCTCAGCTGGGGGAGGGTTAGTATTAGGGATCAGCTGGGGGAGGGTTAGTATTAGGGCTCAGCTGGGGGAGGGTTAACTGTTAAGACACTAGTATCGGGAAGGTCAAGCATTTGGGTTTGGTAACAGGAAGAGGTAAGAAGTTAAATGCATTACAGAAATGTTTCCCATTATGTGTTGTGTTCTCTGAAAGCCTTTTGCCAGAAATGACTGAGTTGTGATCTCGGTACCAAGAGCTTTCGCAGCAACAGTGTTCCTCCAGTACGTGTGAATAGGATGCGTATGTGAAGGTGGTTTTTGCACTTTGTCTACACCTCCAACAAAGACTGTTCGCTAAAACTGATAATAGAATGACGCTGGAGGAATTGGCACATATAAAACAATCAAAATATTCAGGAACGATAGATTAAAAAAACATAATATACAGAACATGTGGGGGGTCCCTGGGGGGGAAGGGGACATAGTCCGAATGTGTGCATATTTGTGTATACCTCTTGATATCTCAGATATAAAAGGTTCCCTAACCCCTGTGCAGGCTCTATTATTACACTCGGAGACATGTACAGCACACAGTGACTTCCAAGAGGCTGCAGTCCCGCTAGAGACCCTCTCCCAGTCTGGCAATAGGAACATCTATAAAACTAAATGGAACAGATTTCAGTACATTGGTAATTACTGCTTTTTTTGCTACTTGACAAACGATTGGAGACAGCTCATTTCAATAGTGGCAGAACGCAGACTTTTTTCATCATGATAAACAATCATTCGTCCCGCCACGGTTCGCCGACTGTCCTAATGCTGAAGATATGGGACAAACTTGTCAGATTTTCCATTTTCTTCCGTATGAAGCTCGAGCAATCTTTCATTATCATCCTAACTGTTCTATCAACTTATCCATTTAACATCCAGCAGACTGTGATTACAGATAATTACACATCTCATGGAAAGTTGTTCTTGAAATTGTTTTTTTTCTTCTTTTCTTTTCTTTTATTTAAATTGGTCTATTGTGTTCAAGAAATGGGTCATTTCAAAAACTTCTTCAACAAGGGGTCCCCCAAAATTGCTGGGTGTGTGATGATGGTTCATATGTCAAGGGATGCAGATATCTTTACTCCACATCGGTATCACCATCATCAGGCCTGACAGGACAAAGGTTCATTCCTTAAGATAGGTCAAAGCTTTTGAGGCTTATCATCTCAATGAAGCTTTCTTGGGAAAACTCGTGTTCCTGGGGAAATTCAGTTAATGCCAATGAAAACCCCTTGTGAAAGCTCTAGAGCATTCATCCTCACCACCAGGATTCCTTGGAAATCTAGTTTTCCTCCAGAGGTTCCTAGGGATTCCCTGAGCTGTGTCTGATTGACCTTCTATTTGATGGTTCTTGCATAGTTCGAGGGCCAACACCACTAGGCAGAGCCAGAAGTGTGGCACCAATTATCTTTTTAGTTGTATGGGTGGCATTCTGGCCACCACTGTCAAGGTTGACTTCCTCCTACTGACCACCAATGTAAAAGATGTTTGGTCATTCTTAAACAGGCTTCCATGGAATCCTAGGGTTTCTTCAAAGGTTAATATGGGTACCTTGAGCTGTGGCTAATAGACCTCCTATCCGATGGTGCCTGCATAGTTTGAGGACCAACACACCCAGGCAGATCCAGCAGTGTGGCACCAATTATCTTTTTAGCTATCTGTAAGGACTCATTCTGAGCACTACTGTCAATGTTGACCCTCTTCTGCTGACCACCAACGTAAGAGGCATTTGGATAGTCTTAACCATGATCTAGAGCAGCCATCCTCAACCAGTTTTTCCTTGGAAATCTAGTTTTCCTCCAGAGATTCCTAGGAATTCCCTGAGCTGTGTCTGATTGACCTTCTATTTGTTCTTTTTTGCATAGTTTTTAGGGGTTCCCTGAGCTGTGGCTAATAGACCGCCCATCCGATGGTGCCTGCATAGTTTGAGGACCAACACAACCAGGCAGAGCCAGCAATGTGGCACTAATTATCTTTTTAGCTATCTGTAAGGTCTCATTCTGACCACCAATGTCAATGTTGACCCGCTTCTGCTGACCACCAATGTAAGAGGCATTTGGATAGTCTTAACCATGAGCTAGAGCAGCCATCCTCAACCAGTTTTCCTTGGAAATCTAGTTTTCCTCCAGAGATTCCTAGGAATTCCCTGAGCTGTGTCTGATTGACCTTCTATTTGATGGTTTTTGCATAGTTTTTAGGACCAACACCACTAGGCAGAGGCAGAAGTGTGGCACCAATTATCTTTTTAGCTGTATGGGTGGCATTCTGGCCACCACTGTCAAGGTTGACTTCCTCCTACTGACCATCAATGTAAAAGACATTTGGCCATTCTTAAACAGGCTTCTATGGATTCCCAGGGTTTCTTCAAAGGTTAATAGGGGTTTCTTGAGCTGTGGCTAATAGACCACCCATCCGATGGTGCCTGCATAGTTCGAGGACCAACACAACCAGGCAGAGCCAGCAGTGTGGCACCAATTATTTTTTTTAGCTATCTGCAAGGTCACATTGTGACCATCACTGTCAAGGTTGACTTTCTTCTGCTGACCACCAATGTAAGAGGCATTTGGCCATTCTAAAACAGGGTTCTATGGAATTCTGGGGTTTCTTCAGATCTAGAGCAGCCATCCTCAACCAGTTTTCCTTGGAAATCTAGTTTTCCTCCAGAGGCTTCTAGGGATTCCTTGAGCTGTGGCTAATTAACCTCCTATTTGATGGTTCTTGCATAGATCGAGGACCAACACCACCAGGCAGAGCCAGTAGTGTGGCACCAATTATTTTTTTTAGCCATCTGTAAGGTTGCATTCTGACCACCACTGTTAAGGTTGACCTCATCCTACTGACCACCACTGTAGGAGGCATTCGGCCATTCTAAACCAGGGTTCCATGGAATTCTGGGGTTTCTTCAGAGGTTGCCATGACTTGCTTGGACTGTGACTGATTCACCTCCAATTTGATGGTGCCTACATAGTTCCAGGACCAATGTCACTTGGCAAAGCTAGAAACATGGCAACAATTAACTTCTTAGCTATCTGTATGGGCATTCTGACCACCAGTCAAGGTAGACTTCTTCCTACTGACCACCAATGTAAGAGATATTTTTATCTTTGACCCTGATGAACTGTCTTTACAAATGGTTCCCCGAGACCTGAAAATTATGTTAGGGGTTCCTCTGTGGTAAGAAGTTTGAGAAAAGTGTCTCTAGATTTTTTAAAAAGTGTTATTCAACCCTCTTTTCAAAAACATAAATAGCGCTGCAGACCTTAGAACGTAATATGGGACATTGTATGCTTTCCTTTTGAAGGTGGTCATTGCTTGGCCTTCTGTATCTGAAATTCCTGACTATTCTGTTCTCAATTTTTGAGTGGCTAAATCGCCTTGTATGGCCCCACCATAGCCACCATTGTGTACTCACTACAGACAGAGAATACATCTGGACCTCTCAATTCTGAGGGCAACAACATGCGCAGACAAGCATGAAGCCTATAACATCAAGCAGCTCCTCTAACTCAATCTTTCCAAAAGTGAGCTCTTAGTATTCCCTCCAGTCCGTGCCCCCTCCCCCGACTTCTCCATCAAGATCAATAACACAACCATCAGTCCTTCCCCTCATGCCAGGGTAGTAGGTGTAATCCTAGACTCCCATATGTCCTTTTAGCCCCAAATCCAATCGCTGTCCAAATCTTGTAGACTTCACCTCCGCAACATCTCTGAGATACGCCCGTTCTTAACCTCCGAAACTACTAAGCAACTTATTCACTTGCTTTTTATATCTCTCGCCTTGACTACTGTAACTCCCTCCTCATTGGCCGACCTTATCGCAGGCTATCCCCTCTTCAGTCTATCATGAATGCTGCTGCCAGACTCATCCACCTTACTAACCATTCCATATCTGCCACCCCTCTCCATTCAGTGTCCTCCACCCCCCTCTCTGCCAATCCCTCTACTGACCTCCATTCTGTGTCCTTCACCCCTCTCTGCCAATCCCTCTACTGACCTCCATTCAGTGTCCTCCATCCCTCTCTGCCAATCACTCTGCTGACCTCCATTCAGTGTCCTCCATCCCTCTCTGCCAATCCCTCTACTGACCTCCATTCTGTGTCCTCCATCCCTCTCTGCCAATCACTCTACTGACCTCCATTCAGTTGTGTCCACCCCTCTCTGCCAATCCCTCTACTGACTGCCATTCAGTGTCCTCCACAACTCTCTGCCAATCCCTGCGCTGGCTTCATTTCAGTGTCCTCCACCCCTCTCTGCCAATCCCTCCACTGGCCTCCACTCAGTGTCCTCCACCCCTCTCTGCCAATCCCTCTACTGACCTCCATTCTGTGTCCTCCATCCCTCTCTGCCAATCACTCTACTGACCTCCATTCAGTTGTGTCCACCCCTCTCTGCCAATCCCTCTACTGACTGCCATTCAGTGTCCTCCACAACTCTCTGCCAATCCCTGCGCTGGCTTCATTTCAGTGTCCTCCCCCCTCTCTGCCAATCCCTCCACTGACCTCCACTCAGTGTCCTCCATCCCTCTCTGCCAATCCCTCCACTGGCTTCCACTCAGTGTCCTCCACCCCTCTCTGCCAATCCCTCCACTGGCCTCCACTCAGTGTCCTCCACCCCTCTCTGCCAATCCCTCCACTGGCCTCCACTCAGTGTCCTCCACCCCTCTCTGCCAATTCCTCCTCTGGCTTTCCATTGCCCAATGGATAAAATTCAAAGCATTAACAATAACATATATAGCCATTTATAACTCCGCCCCAAATTACATCACCAATCTTGTCTCCAAATATCTCCACTCCTTGCACAACCTCCTGCTCTCTAGCTCCCTTGTCTCCTCCTCCCATGCTCATCTCCAGGACTCCTCCAGAGCTTCCCCCATTCTCTGGAACTCTCTACCCCAATTTATCAGACTATCGCCGACTCTGCTCACTTTTAGGCGATCTGTGAAAACCTCTCTCTTCATGGAAGCCTGTTCTGCCCTCAGCTAATAATGGAATCTTCTATTCCTCCTATCAGTCAGTCCCCCACAGTTATTACCTTTTGTACCACTAGCCCCTCCCTCTTAGATTGTAAGCTCCCAGGATCAGGGCCCTCCTATCCCTCTTGTATTGAACTGTTTTGTTGCTGTATTGTCTCCCGTTATATTGTAAAGCGCTGAGCAAACTGTTGGCACCATATAAATCCTGTATAATAATAATAAGATCATTGATTGACAGCAGCTCTTAAGATTCTATAAGGTTTAGTTTACATTTGAAGTTGGGGTAGTGCAGTAAAAAAAAAGCAGCTGTGCCATTATTTTACTGCTCCCCGTAACTGAACACAGTGGTCAGAGAGGGTTGTACAGCTGCTATGCTTTGCAAACAGAGGGATACACCCTGCCCCATTTGTCGGGCACCACCACCGCTGAATGCAACCCATCCAACTGTAATATAAAACAAATATAAACATTTTGGTTGAAGGTGTGAATTATAGGAAGAGGTGCAGTGAACTCCGGGTATCACCAGTACTCAGGATTCCCATTGTAAGTCTCAGGACGCACAACTGCCTGTTGGCATGGGGAACAATTCATTCCCTGTGGCCTTTATATGCAGGAAATGTTCTCTGAACATATACAGAGGTGACATTGGCGCTCATGGGGCGTTGAAGTCTAAGTGCAAATCCCAGTTCTGTGGTTTAGCTGCTTGTGTTGTATTACTCAATAATTGTAACTTCTTTAGATAAGGCTGCTCTTCATTGACAATGAATCCTTGTTGTGCCTGTATGAAATGATTTCATGTCTCTGAGATCCAAAAAAATGTATTGAACAAAAAAGAAATAACGTATTGAGTAGGAAATAATATAATCAGGAGAAATGAATGTATTTAGGAGGAAATCATGTATTGAGGAGGAAATCACGTATCGTAGAGGTCATAACATACTAAGGAGGAAATAATGTATTGAAGAGGAAATACAGTAATGCATTGAGTAGGCAATAATACACGGCTCAAAAAAATTGAAAGGAACACTTTGAAATCACATCAGATCTCAATGGGGACAAATCTCCTGCTGGATCTCTATACTGACATGGACGGGGTAATGGGTTAGGAACGTAAGGACGCCCCATCGTTTGATGGAAATGAAAATGATCGACCTACAGAGGACTGAATTTAAAGACACCCCAAAAATCAAAGTGAAGAAATGATGCAGCAGGCGAGTCCATTTTGCTGAAATGTCACTGCAGCAACTCAGAATGGTCCTCAGTAGTTTGTGTGGCCCCCACGTGCTTGTATGCATGCCTGACAGCAGCATCGGGGGAGGCTCCTAATGAGACCACGGATGGTGTCCTGGGGGATTTCCTCCCAGATCTGGACCAGGGCATCACTGAGCTCCTGGACAGTCTGAGGTGCAACCTGGCAGCATCAGTGGACCGAAACATGGCATCCCAGAGGGGTTCTATTGGATGCCATTGCCTAGCCTGTAGAGGTCTGTGCGTCCCTCCATGGATATGCCTCCCCAGACCATCACTGACCCACCACCAGAACGGTCATGCCGAACCATGTTAAAAGGCAGCAGAACGTTCTCCACGGCTTCTCCAGACCCTTTCACGTCTGTCACATGTGCTCAGGGTGAACCTGCTCTCATCTGTGAGAAACACAGGGTGCCAGTGGTGGACCTGACAATTCTGGGGTTCAATGGCCAATGCCAATCGAGCTCTATGGTGCTGGGCAGTGAGCACAGGGCCTACTAGAGGATGTTGGGCCCTTAGGCCACCCTCATGAAGTCTGTTTCTGATTGTTTGGTCAGAGACATTCACACTAGTGGCATGCTGGAGGTCATTTTGTAGGGCACTGGCAGTGCTCATCCTGTTCCAGAGGAGTAGATACCGGTCTTCCTGATGAGTTAAGGACCTTCCAGCTCTCCTAGAGGAACTGCCTGTCTCCTGGAATCTCCTCCATGCTCTTGAGACTGTGCTGGGAGACACAGCAAACCTTCTGGCAATAACACGTATTGATGTGCCATCCTGCAGGAGTCGGACTGCCTGTGCAACCTCTGTAGGGTCCAGGTATCACCTCATGTTACCAGTAGTGACACTGACCTGAGCCAAATGCAAAACTAGTGAAAAACAGTCAGAAAAGATGAGTAGGAAAAAAATGTCAGTGGCCTCCACCTGTAAAACCATTCCTGTTTTGGGGGCGTCTCATTGTTGCCCATCTAGTGTACCTGTTGTTAATTTCATTAACACCAAAGCAGCTGAAACTGATGAACAACCCTCTGCTACTTCCCTGACCAGATCAATATCAGGTTGAGGTCAGGACTCTCTGCAGGCCAGTCAAATTCATCCACCCCAAACTGGCTCCTCCATGTCTTTATGGACCTTGCTTTGTGCATTGGTGCGAAGTCACGATGGAACAGGAAGGGGCCATCCCCAAACTCTTCCCACAAAGTTGGGATCATGAAATTGTCCAAAATGTCTTGGTATGCTGACGCCTTAAGAGTTCCCTTCACTGGAACTAGGGGGCCAAACCCTGAAAAACAACCCCACACCATAATCCCCCCGTCCACCAAACTGTACACTTGGCACAATGCAGTCAGGCAAGTACCATTCTCCTGGCAACCGCCAGACCCAAACACATCCATTGGATTGCCAGACAGAGAAGCGTGATTGGTCACTCCAGAGAACACGCCTCTATAGCTCTAGAGTCCAGTGGCGGTGTGCTTTACACCACGGCATCTGACGCTTTGCATTGCACTGGTGATGGAAGGCTCGGAAGCAGCTGCTCGGCCATGGAAACCCATTCCATGAAGCTCTCTACACATGCGCTGACCCCGCTCTGTCATGTGACGTGGCCTACCACTTGGTGGCTGATTGGCTGTTGTTCCCAGTTGCTTCCACTTTGTTATAATCCCACTAACAGTTGAGCGTGGAATATTTAGTAGCCAGGAAATGTCACGGATGGACTTATTGCCCAGGTGGCCACCTATCACGGGACCACGCTTGGAGTCACTGAGCTCCTGAGAGCGACCCATTCTTTCACCAATGTTTGTAGAAGCCATCTGCATGCCTAGGGGCTTGATTGTATACACCTGTGTCCATGGAGGGGATTGGAACACCTGAATCACATGATTGGGAGGGGATTGGAACACCGGAATCATATGACATGGAGGGGATTGGAACACCTGAATCACATGATTTGGAGGGCTGGCCCAATACTTTTGGCAATGTCGTGTAGATGTCCCAGGCTCCACCAATAATTTAGATATCAGTTGTAGGTGGAGTATCCCTTTAAATGGCTTTAAAAAGGCAGGCACCGTGCTTCTGTTTTGAAGTGTGGGTGTTTTGCTGATGCACATTCTCACTCCATCGCCATAGCAAGTGGCATTTTTATCATCGAGTGAGCAAACTTTGCATTTTATGCTTTCATAAACAGAATCAGCTCTGAGCCACAGAGAACAGTTGGAGAGTCGTGGTTTTATTAGATGGTATATCAGAATGCCGCCTTGCATCATAACGTATCGAGAACTCTGCCAGAACTCAGATTTAAACTTCCCCCAACCCCCGCAATATTCTGAAATAAATTTGCGCCCGTCTGCAGCACACAGAAGTCTGTTTTTAACACGTTTGTGGCTTCTCTTTTAAAGGAGTCTTCCACCTTCATTGAACCATGAATTCATTGGTTTGTACATCTCCCCACCATGAATGATAAATATTCAGCCTTTATTTTGTCTCCTGAACTTCCAATTCCAAACATTCCTGTGATGACTAATCTGCTCAATCCCCTAATGTCTGTCATCTGATGATCTGGGAACACCTGTGTGTAACGGAACCGGACCCCGACTGCACTGGGGTATTTCCGTTAGACTCCCGCTTCCCTGTCCGAACACAGATCCACGGACACCACCGCTGACCATACAAGACGAGACAACACCAGACATGAAGGAAATCAGAAGATAGACTACTTTATTTTAACACAGACACAAGATATAAACATTCAAGTGTAAAACCCCCCTCCCTGCATATGGACACAGTGCGGGGCAAACCAAATTCAGCAATCAGAGACACATCAGCAGACACCCCCTACCAAGCCAATACACAAACACATACATCCCATAATAGTTTGCTCCCAAGCAAGTCACACAATAGAACAATGGGACAACCACATGGCATTAAACAATGAACAACCCCCACCTATACATGTTTACACAATATTAGGACATTCCACCCTGTATTATTATTATTATTATTATTATACAGTATTTATAAAGCGCCAATAGTTCGCTCAGC